TCCCTCAGCAGTTTATCCCATAACTCTTTAGAGGACAAGATGTAAGTAGGCTGCTGAACAGAGACACGGCTAGACTCTGCCCCTCAGCACTGCAGTGCAGAGACTCCTTCCCTCAGACTGCATCCCTTGGCACATGCACACGCAGCAGCGGAGTCACCCAGCTCCTTCAAAACAGCTCCAGTCAGCCCGGAGCAGATTAACATAACACACAACACAGCAAAAATACCCAGAAATGTTGCATTCCCAACCACAACAGCATTTAAAGGCAGGAGTTCTTAAAACTGTGCTGTCCCCAGCTAGCAGGAATCAGTGTAGCGGGAAGAGCTTTCCTGCCACGAATAATCTGTCAGTTTGGCCTGTCAGGAATCACCTGCATTTTTCCTGGGAGCTCTCAGCGCAGGCAGTGCTCTGTCTCCTCCTGGCAGGTACACACAGCAACTCGAAACCGGCCCAGAAAGTAACAGTTATCCTCCCCCATCTAGTTGTTCCTAATTCCTAACATAAAGAAGCTGCAATGGCTGATCCGTAGAAACCACTGCAGTCCCGTGGGAGCTTTTCCATCAGACAGTCTTCCCATCACTTGGGCTGACTTCCAAGACCAGGTGCAGAATCCTGATCCCTGAGCTACCCTCGGAGATGGCACAGCTCCCGCCAGCAGCAAGGCTGGGCCTAAATGCACACAAATCCCAGGGCCTGAGGACTTGTGGGAGACAACAGGCTGTAGAGCAAACCAGGAACGTCTGCACAGAATCCTTTCCTAACCAGCATGCAAACGTCTCATGGATCAAGCCCTGTTAAAATGAATTAATGTGACGAATAAGGCTTCTAATACACCTTCTGTAGGATCGGGGGAAATGGACAGGCAATTTTAAGTTCTGGTTCACGCTCGGGAATGACACAACCGCTGTAAATATGTATCTACCTTTGTGGACAGGACTGTATGACGTTTTTTCCCTGGAAAGGCATTACAGGAAACCAGCAAATGTAATGACTGGGCTCTGGCTATACAACAGGACTACTAAAATAACATACTACAACTACAACCTTGCCGTGCTTGTAGGGAAGAGGAGATAGAGAGTAAAAATATACAAGTTTCAGGACAGAGAGGGAAAGATGCTGGTGGTTGTAATGGACTCTAAGAAACATACTGAGGGATTTAGCCAGGAGAAAATAACAGATGAGCAAGTTTAGCCAAAGACTCCGTAGCTCAAAGGCAAACCAGAAAGACAGTGCAGCACATTCCAGACACAGCCCAGAGGGATTGAGACACCTCCAGGAGGTGAGACTTTCAGGGTGTGTGATTTTTAGATAGATCATAAATGTATTCTGTCATCCTGTTGCAGTAAAGGACAAGAGTGGCTTCAGACTCCCTGGGAGCATTTTGGGGCACGCCCTCCTCTCCATCTCCCTCATGAAAAACCTCAAGAACTATGCCCAGGATCCCAGGAAACTGCTTTATCCCGAAGCGAGATCTTGAGATTGCTGCCGAGCTGCACTGGGATTCCAGTGGATTCCAGCTCTGGGCGAGAGCTAAAACATGAAGCCTTCTGCCACGTGTTCCAAGCCCCCAGCCCAGGGGCAGCAGGCAGACCCGGGGCGGTTTGCAGGGATACCACGCACTGCGCTGGGCTGAGCCCGGTTGGGGGTGCCCCCCGAAGCTGCTCTGTCCCTCACCTCCTGGGCTGGGCAGGGGAGACGAAACATGCTGAGAGGCCAAGGGGATACTTGGGAGCTGAATTCATAGGAAGAGGCTGGAATAGACACAGAAGGAGCTTAGGAATTACTGGACCACTGGATCCAAGGAGTGCAGCCCCCAAGTTCAGTATGGCACGTAATCAGCTGCAGAGGGTAACCAGATCTAACAAATACCATTGATGCTGTCCGTTTAAATTGTTCGTGTTTCCTCTTTAAACTGTATCAGAACAAGGGATTCTTTTGAAAAAAGTTAAGCCCCAGCTCCTTTTGATGAAACACAAACACAGGTCAGTGGTAAGCCACAGCGGGGATTTTTCAGTGGCAGCAAAGGAGCTCTCACCCGGACGCGCTGTTTACGAGTGCCGATGTTACGCAGCTCAGCCGCGCACCTCCGCCGCGTGTACCTGGGAAGTGCCACTGAGCAGTCAGGTGCTAAGAAACGCTAAATCCAGGGTACCCCACATCTCCACGAATGCGCACCTCCCATCGGCACGTGCTGCATCCCGGTAACAAATTGCCCTTTCCCCTCCAGCCAGAGGCACGCCGGCATTCACTGAAGTTGGACTCACTGTAACCTGAGTTTTGTTTAACTTTTTACACGAGCTTCCTGCTCCCAAAAATATTTATTTTAATAATTTTGACAAATAATTCAGATTTTTTTTTAACTTGTCACAGTTTTTATTATTTGGGGCAGACTCTTAAAAGCCAGAGCCTGCTGCCCTGGGCAGGGGACAAACTCCCAGCTGCCCATCTGGGCTGGGTGAGGAGCCAGCCACCCGGCAAGCTGTCCTGCTGCAGCCCCGCGTCTCTGCGGCAACGTGCTGCCTCTCAAACCGACTCGGCTGAATAGATGTCACCTAAAAAAATAACTTATCTCAAAGCTGTGAATGTAGATGCAGTTGAGATTTTTCTTGTGCCAACTTCTGACCAATCTATACCAACAGAGTGTTAAAATCTGCATTAAAGACTGACCGTCTTGGGTGCTAAGAGTTTACCTGCCCTCCGCCTAGGGTAATCAGTAATAACCATAAAAAAGACTATTAGCGATTTACATCATTGTGAAGTATTTTACAATTTATTTACGTATGTAATGATTTACATTATTGATGCAGGCAAGTGGCATTTTGCAGAATAAATATTAACCTGGATTTCAACTGAAGTTGGCAGAATGAGATTTTCAAATATCTGCACTCAAACGCTCTGTGAATAGAGACCGAAAATCTCATTAACTCCCGCCAGACCAAAGACTTAAGTCAATACTGAGATCTTTCAGCCATCTGGTAACTCTCTTGCGGACAGACCTGCATTATCAGTCCTACAACAGAAAAGAAAATGAAGATAACTTTTTCCCCTTGAGTAAGGATTTTGACCAAATCCTGAATTCAGTGCATACCAGTGCTAACATGTTCCTCACAGAACACATAGCAAGACACAGAGATACGCAGCCAGTGTTTAAGCTTCAGTGGAAAGTCTAGTGGTTAACCATGCAAGCACAGTATTTAACATTTTCCTCAGGAATCACTGCATTCCCATCTCCAGAGCGGTTAGCATTTGCGTACCATGTCAGTAACACATGGCTACGGTCAGGACGCCCCAAAGCCATATCCCTTACAGCAAAACCGTGGAGGTTAAGGTTCTAACGTTGATTCAACCAGACTAATAGATTTTCCTTCCCGTGGGGATAATCTCACTGAGGTAATTTAAACAACCGGGGCTGGAAACCTTATGCTCAGCTGAGTTGCAGGTCTACGGAGTGCTTAAATTCGGAAGAAGACTGAGGGCAGCAGCATGCAATCTGTCAGAACTGCTGATGAAAAGCAATGGCAAGAAACAGATGTAACATGGGATGTCTGTAAAGGGGTACCGTGCATAGCAACAAAAAAGAAATGTCATCTTCCCTCTGCCTGCAAGGCCAGCAATGGTAATTCCAGTGTCACGTGGGAAGACCACTGTTTAGCTCACCATCTTTCCCATTAGGAAGACACAGAGAGAAAGTGTAGTACGAGACAGGAAAGATGACACATACACGAAAGCAGAATAAAGCCAATAGGATAGAAATAATAATAGAAGGTGAAAATACATCCTGTTTGCAGCCAATCAGGGTGGCATATCTGGACACCAATGACGTGCACCACCTTCAACACTCATCAGAAAAAACCCCAATGGAAAGCTGAAGTCCCCTGTCAAATAATCCATCTTTGGACTCATTGATGCACTGCAACATTAGGCCTGTGGAGTGTCTAAAAACTGAATGTCGTAATCCCTTACAGAAAACACTTTTTGCAACTTCCCTTATGCTTAATATAAAAAGCAAGAACAAAAGATGTATCAAAGAGCTTACTTCTGTCTTTCCAGAGGCAGACCAGAAGTGGCAGAAGGGTTGACATGTAAGAGCACAGGATTAGTTATGTCTCCGGTGAAACTGGCTGTGGCACAGAGCCCATCATTGCCCCTGTACAACTCTGCTACACCCACGATTTCAGTCACTCAGGTTAGTGGACAGACACTCAGTCCAAGCAGCCTTCTCCCTCTCCACGGAACCTCTCTGAAGCTGTAAACAGGGTGGTCCGCATTGCCCAAGAGCTGCATGACAGGCCCTTCTCTTACGACACGGTTTCTAAAAATACTGCACATTCGGGAGCAAATCCTCCCCCAAAACCTGCAGGATAAGTTTTGACCGGAGCAGTCTATTCCTAGTGCTGCGAGCACAGACTGAGGCTTGCCGTGCACCCAAATCAGACTGACACTTGCCAGGACTGGAGAGAACAGCTCCCTTCTTTGAAGTATTTTTTTTCAAAAGTCAGTACCAAAGAATCTGCAGTAGAGTATTTGCCCCTCATTGAGCTGTTTTGTTTTGCTGACCTTTTCTAAAACATAGTCCAATCTATGAAGTACCACAGTGTATGATGAATTGGAAAATGGCATCATACGATTAAAAAAATCTCAAGGCAGTAAACCATATGAGTGGCACTGAAATCAGAGGTGGCCTCCACACAGATGGTCCATAGCAGCATATCCATTTCAAGGACATCTGCAGATTTCCTCAGCGAGCACGCACACCATCACCACTCTCACGGGCAGGATCCGGCAGTGTGTTATTTACCAGCCACACAACGCTCTCTCATTGAACTTACCACAATGCTAAGGCTGCAGTTTCCAGAGACTCACATAACACACCCCCAAATCCCACTGAAACATGAGCACCCAGTTCAAATTCAGCTTTTGAACAGCTCACTCTGAATTCCCCAAATCCCGAAAAGCTTTGTAATTCCTTCTGCCAGGACAGGTTTTCATTATTTCCTCACCTTCCTCATAGAGCTCCTCCATTGCTCTCCAGGTCTCAGCTCGGGCCTCTCGATTGCTTTTACCCGGAACATGTGCATCGGGCCAGTGTATCAAATACAGATCTGCAAAAGGAACAGAACCAGCCTGCTCACTCAAGTGTCAAACCCGAAATAATCCAACAACCGAACCACGTGAAGCAGCATTTTCACCCCGCAAGGGTCACAACTCCTGCTTCAGGGTGGTTACTGAGCACATCCACTGAGCTCCATCACGAGACCCATCACACTGCACCAGCAACCAGAGGTAACCACAGGTCTTGGTCGATAACCAGGATTTCACCCTCACACACGCACCTAATAAACTTCCAACACATGACAAGCCCCATTTCAGCCCCGGGGGTTTTGGTCACTGGAATGAAGGCCGGGCTGTGGCTGAAGCGCTGCAAGCCCCCAGGTTTACGGAGGACAGAGATGCCTGGCATTCTACAGACGCTTCACACCCCCTCTGCACTGGGCCCGTTTTCCCCTTCTGGAAAGAATACTTCCATTTACGAATTTCTGATGGAAATCACAGCACATTCTTTCATGCAGTTTCTCTGCTATAATTTTGTGGCATTTATGATTTTTTTAAAGCATTTAAACAGTATCATTTTCAAGGAACAGAATTACGCTTTACTGCCTTTTACAGAACGTTAGCACGATTCCCAACACAGTTCAGATTTACTGTAGATAAAGTTATCCATGCTGCTATTGAAACTAGCTGCCTTAGGAAATCTGCTTTTTTTGCCTTCATGCAAGAAAAGACAACCCTTCTATGGAAAAAGGAAGCATTTCCAACAAATATTAAAAATGAGAAATTTACATAAATTGGACTCAGAGTTCCAAATCAGATTGCCCAGATTTAAAAAATGACAAGACTTGTAACTGCTTTGTAAGTCTGGGCTACATGTTCTGACAGAGAAACTTAGGAGCTACTTTGCAAACAATGACATTTCCAGTTAAACCCTAACTGCAGATGAAACAGGTAACTCCCAGGCAGAGGTGCTGGTCTTTGCCTCTCGGTCTGACAGAAAACAGGAAAAGGAAATACATGCACGACTGATGTGCATCATTGCCTTTGTGCTCTGCAGTATTCCTTTTATGGCAGTTCAAACAGGGTTAAGGAATAAAAAAACCAGATTTGTTTGCAATGAGCAGAGGTTTTTGTTCTCTGAATGCATGGCACCATCCCTCTGCAGCACCTCCTTGTAAGATCCTTGGCTGTATTTTTTTGTTACTGACATTCAAGGCCTGCACTAGTGATTACTGCATCACTGGGCTGGTGCTTTAGCTTTCCACCTCTGCAAACACACATTACACCTCGACTTAAGAGGAAAAGGTAACATGAATTCACTACAATACACCAGTTCCCATTCCAGTCCAGAGAATTCCACCAAATCCCCTTTTCCAAAAGCCTGAGCACTCAGTCATCACAGTTTGCACACGTTCACAGAAACCGCCACGATGTGCGTTTGCACATGCGAAGATGCTCTGAGCTCAGCCCAAGAAGCTGAAGCACTCCCAGACAAATGACTGTGAAAAGGTTTGAGAACTGAAAAGTCTCTTGCCTTGGTTGTTTAAACAACACAGTGCATCACCCTCCTCTCTACCAGTGGCCGAAACCTCCAGTGCAAACACGATCAGGTGTTGGTCCTCACAGAGAAAAGTGACGCTTTGGGGTACGTGATGTCCACATCACCCTATCGCATTTACTTTGATTTAGGCTTTTTGTTGGAATAAAAATGACTTCACAGTTAGAAATGCCTGCCTTTAGGGCTAGACAGCATCCGCTGGATCACAGGGCGCAGTCCTCGCTGCAAGAAGCGTTGGGAAAGATGTGGGGCAAAGGTGCCTTATCTTGGACAGAGCCGCCTTGCTGCAGGCCACCCGCAGCCACCCCACCCCAGCCAGGAGCCAAGGCACTTGCGGCGAGCAACGGAGCTGCCGCTCTAGTTCAATAAACCGAGCAGCATCTCTAGAAACCCTTCCCTAACCCCTGCAGGCCAATAAAACCCGTAGGCACCTCACAACTGTCCACATGTTCGCACCTCACCCACACATTTCGTTTGGCTTAAACTATTTCCCCTCCGGAGGGATGGCACCTACAAAACGCTCCTTTTCATTTTGGAAGTAAGAGATTAGTTTTAAGTTATTTATCAAAATCGCTTAAGGCTCCAGTAACCAAAAACTGTGTAAGTATCACTGGAGGGTTTTAAGAGCAGACTACATTTTACCCGTCGAGAGTGATGGGGTTGTGCCTTGTAGTGCACAGATTAATCACCACTTGGAGGCTTCCAGCTGTATTTTTTACAAAATCATCTTAACTCAAAATAAATCCATCAATGATTCACAGTATGAGGATGCACTGGAGAAAGAAGAGAAACACCCAAATACTGACAATCAAATTCTGCATTTACAGCATCCTTCACAGACCATCAAGCTGTAGTGGTGCAGGGGTAAGGGAGGGCCTGAAGTTCATTTAAATGTCAAACACAGTGCTGCAGGAAAACTAAAATTAACATGTGAACTGCTTTCACACGACATTTAAAACAGAGCGACTTAGCGCTTCTTGGTGGTTGCAGCACACACAATCACCACAGTTCCTCAAGAGTACAGGGCCATTTCACACATTCAAAAGCCAACAGCATGTTGGCATGGAAATAAAGGTTTGCCATTCCATTCCAATTCCTAACACAATACAAACCTCACTGTAACAAACCTGGTTTGGAAGAACAAGCTCTGCCTCATACCAAACCGACAAGCAAAAGGGTATATTTCCAGTGTTCAGCAGAGTTATCTTAGTGCAACGATTGCACTGTCCCTGTTTTTCCCCACTGTCAGTGCACTGAGTAAGGACACGATGCATTCTGCTCCCCTGCCCAACCTCCTTGGTGGTGGTGGTTTTTGATTCTGTTGGAACCAGGATCAAGGTAGAAGCAGCCTCTCAAGCGTTCACAGTTCATACACAGTCTGAACTGGGAGTAGGTATAAAGTTGTTTATGAATTCAGTAGCCCATAGATCACATCCAAAAAGTAGTTATTTGGAGGTTTGATCCAAATCCCAAGGAATGTGTTCCGCTACTGCCAAACCCGTAAGATCTGCTGCCATTCCATACTGGTTTACTGCGACTGCTAGTTGAGGACCACATTTAGAAAACACAGGGAGCAGAGTATCTGTTACAACCACTGCCCACAAATAATACAATTTTCCAGCTTCTCATGGATATACAATCTCCTGATTCAAATAAAAATCCTGGAACACTGCTGTCCTAATACCATTGGCCCCAAAAGTGTTTATCAGAATCGTTTCATAAAGTATTTTACATGCACCACACTTTCTCTCAAAAAGCTGTGGCTTCTTTCAGCAGCTCCCATGTTCCAATGGCTGGCATGCTACAGACTGCTAACACACTGACCATTTCCCAGGCCTCATTCAGCCAGCGTGGACAGACAGCGGAGCCCATCAGGATCCCCAATAAAATTAACTGGACTCTCCTTAGAACGAAGAGCTCGGCTGCACATTTACCTGCCAGGGCTCCAGGGCTCCTACAGCTTCTTTCTGCAGTCTCCTGAAGGCCGAACCTCCCTCCAATACCAAGGTCTAACCTCACAGATAGAAAACAGAAGGATCCTCAGTAATCTACATCAACCATCTGTCTTTACGGAAATGCTGTGAACCACCACATACTTGGTTAATATCAAAATGTAATCAGGAAACTCTGATTTAGGTCCACGAAATTTATTCCACATTCCTATTTCACAGAAAACCTGCCAGCTTTAACACGTCTGTAACTAAATGATTGAAAACCGAGTTATGACATCAAAGATTAGTTCTACAAACTCATAACCGCTTTTCAAACCAACCTTGTGCATCCCAGTTACTATTGTTAGTCTTGTGGTAACCCCCAAATCTCCCAAAAAAAGCTCTTACTCTAAGCATTCTTGAAACACCTGGAAAGTTCACCTTTCAGGATATTGCCACTCTTTGCTTAGAGATGCGGCCAGTGGCACCTTCCAGCAGGGCACGTTCAGACAGGAGGTACAGGACTCCCTAAAGCCTGATGCCTTCCCCGAACCCCACGACACAGACCATGTGTGCACCTCCCCGAAGGGTCTACACCATCAGCCATACAGCACTGAACACAGAACCCAACCTTCCCTCTTGTTTGAGAGTGCAGATCATACTGTGTTTAACAAAAAACATCTGTGGAGTCAATCCAACAGGCATTAACCTCCAGGAGCCAAGACCATGGCTCCATTTGCCATCCCATCCATTCTCATGGCTGGATCGGTGGATTGCCCAAGCCATTGCAGTTTACAAGTCACCCAGTTAAAGCACACTGAAGGCAGCACTGATTTTGGTCACTCTCTCAGACTGTGTGGTGGCTCAGCTTTATACATTTTCCAGACATCTCCACATAGGTGGAGGATGGGTGAGGAAGGAGGGAAGTTGGGTGAGGGTATTAAAACACCCCCTCACACTAACACCCCCGAGTATGGAGGCAAAATGCCCAGGGAACTGTAATACTCCTTAACTTTTCTTACTACTCTGAGGAAAGGTCCCAGAGCTGAACGTATCAGACAAACTGACATTCTGTTCATGCCAGCCCACAGACTCACTCGCACGGTGACAGTTTTTGTGCATTTCTTGGTCTCAGATTTTTCCATTGTCTCACATATTTCTGCCTAGCAGCAATGTGTAAAGTGAGTATTAGTGTGAGCACCTGCTTCAATGTCTGCTACCTGAGAAAATCAAAGCAAGTCGTCGTACTGAAAGGAATCACCTGGAAGCGAGTCCAGTTTTCTTCCCATCGCCACTCAGCGCCATGCAAGCAGGAGGAAAAAGAAAGCAAACACAGACATAAGAAGCAGAAAGCAGAGAGGAAACATGTTATTTCTTAGTTTAGAGGAGAAAGCCAGGGCTCTAAGCTTTGTTTATGAAAGTCTCTTTGTAGTGACCTGTATTTGCACAGGACAGATGTTGATTCATTTGGCATTATTCTGTACCTGTGCAGGAAGTGAAGGGACACCTTTCCATGAGGAATGGAGCCAGAGATGTGCACACAAATATGTCAGTCTTCAGCAGATACAGGTTCTTCCCCCTTCATCGTGCAATGCACCCAAGCAAGAGCCGGTGAATACAGCACACAGCTGCCACCAGTGCTACATGCCACTGATGCTGCAAAACCTGCACATCACAAACCTGTCCACTTCCTCATCAGAGGTTATTTACTGGTAACAGGGGGACAGGGCGAGCAAAGATGAGCACAATAAGGCTTTTCAGGACACTGACAGATAATGTCTGATGATTCGGCCAATTATGCCCTGATTATCAGCATAAACACCATCTCCACCAGTGGCGTAATTTTAGACTGTTAACTTGAATTCATCTTCCTCTACCTCCAGTTTCTTTTCCAGCTTGGGAAGAAGCAGGGAAAGCATTTTTAAAAAGACCACGTTCATTTTTATCAGGTACCTCCTCTCCCGTGACCTGCTGTACAGAATTAACTGACATCATTATTGCAGCCCTTTGCCTGTGTAATGAGGGGGTAACAACATCACATCCTTGACTACAAGAAGTTTATGATCAGGGTGAGTTTGAAAGAGCATAACTAACTGGGTATTAGTCAGATTCAGCCCTCTAAAGCCTTGCAGATACTGGAACATTTCCCTCAAAGTATGTTGCGTCAGACAGACCAAACCAAAGGCAGGTATTCAGAATTTTTTAAAGTTAATAGCCCCACAAAATAAGTTTTAGAAAGACTCCGATTCCTTGAGATTCAACAGACCGCACAAGAGCTTAGGCATTTTTATCGCCTTGTTACCAATAAATTACTGTAAAGTTCATGAATCCTTGTTTCAGGTGTTCTAACAATATATCAAATTCATGTAGTGGATCCTGGAATCAGTTTAACAATGAAATGTACATTTAGAAAACATACCTTCATCTGTTTGTAAACACTTGCAACAAGGAGAAACTCAGTTATATGCAGGTGACTTTCCTAGAGAGCAAACAGAACAAGAAATCTGCGCGTGTGTAAACTGAGGCAGAATTTTGTTACTGTGATCTACCTGTACTACTCAATCCCTGAGAAAACTCATTCGCCTCTGCCGATACTCACACAGAAGGCGCAGTAAGTGAGCGATATGGAAAAGTTCGTACCGAGATATTTAACACCAAGCCTTTCACATGACTCCAGGCAGGCTCTTTTTGTGTTCTCATAGCCATAATCACTGTGCCACAGCTTGGTGGTTATCCAGAGCTCCTCCCGCCTCACACCACTCTCTCGGATGGCTTTTCGGAGCAGAGACTCGCAGCCGTATCTTTTTGCTGTGTCAATATGACGAATGCCACATTTTTGTAGCGCATAGACCACAGCGTCATGGGAATAGCCACCTTGATGGGAAGTACCTACACAAACGAAATCAGAAGAGAATCGTCAGCAGTGAGTTACGAGGGACAATCTTTCTAATATCAATCTTTCTAATTTGCGTTATCTTTTTGTGCATTGTCACAGAACCCTCCTATCTGATTTTCAGTTCCTAATAGTAAAGAAATGGGAAGTGACAAATCTCTAGGCTTGGAAAATACATAAAGCGCTGGACTGTTGATGCTGACCAGGAACGGCTCTGCTGAAATGAAATACCAACAGCACCTCACTCTAAAGAAGTGATTCAGAAGTCAGGTTGAAGAGCATCAAAAACACCTACTACATGGAAAAATAGTATATGGCACATAATTTGTCATGTAGGAGCACAACACTGAGGAAAATACGGACAGTAAGAACTAAAATATAACTTAAAGAGCAATTTAGTTTGCAAAAATCACATCTTGAAACCTCTACCCTGTGTGAGCTCCCGGCAGCCCCAGGTTATTCTGGCCTTGCACAAGGCCCAAGCGTCCGGACCCAGGAGCAGCCTCCATGATATCCAGCTCAGCAGGCACCCAGACAACGGCACCCTGCCCACAGGGTGCAGCATGGCGGACGGGAGTCCCAGTGACGAAGCGCTGCAGCTCCCACTGTGCAGGTAGGCACTGGATGTGTATGCCAGGGGGATGGAAGGAAGAGGAGGCTTGGCAGGAAAAGCAGCCAAGCAGGAAGACCAGCAGATAACTGGTTGGGAGCAGGGGATGATGTTTCTACTTGCCCCTTCCTGCTGGTTGTTTGCCCTGCCGGGAGCCCCTCACCCAGCCATCCTGGCTCATGCACTTCCCACCAGCAGCATTCTTTGCAGCTTCTTGGGGAAACACTCCATCAGTTCCAGCAGCGACCAAAGCCACCTCCCAAGATGACCATCAGTACTTGGAGGCGCCAGTGCTACAAGCGGTGGCTGGCACGCAGATGGCGAGGGCACCAACTTCAGCGACTTGTGCAGTTGTGCCACTCACAGCAACGGGTCTTCAGCCACTACTGGATCTAAATAAAGGCCTCCATGGCAAAGAATAATATAAAGTGAAATTAGTATCTGCTGTAAACTTGCTCTTCCCCTCCAAACATCGTAGGTATTCCTAGATGGAACATCTGCATGCTATGACACTGATGGACGTACACAGCCACCCAGACTGTCAGAAAAGGTAAGGAATGAGAACAGTCACCTTGGGCTCAATCTCCCATTCACAGGATGTGGGCGTCTGCAGGACTCACACCATACGCAAGGAGAACTCACAGAAGTCCTACTGGCATGTAAGGCAAGCCGGGTTCCCCTGAATGCTTAGCATTCCTGGCTTTCCAAGGAAAGCCAGTGGTACCCCAGGAATCTTGCTCGACCAGATCTAATACAGTCTGGTGTCACACACCAGTATTCAATGGGACAATCCCCACTTTACGTTCGTGACCTACAAGACGTGGAGTACTGAATTTCTGATTTGCCCTCATGGATTTTAGGATGATGAAATGATACTACTGCATTCCTACAGTTTTAACATGTGTATCGTTAGGTATTTTACCTTCCAAATGTAAACAAAGTTCTCATGTTTGAAGAGAGAAATTTGGCTTTATTTCTGAGTCTTCTAGAAATAACGTCCCTATAACTTGTTTTCTATCAAAATAAGCCAAGCTAGATCAACTTACATTTTCAAAAAAGCTATTTCAAAATCTTCATGTTTAAGACTTTTAGATGAAACTACGGGCAGAGAATATACACAATTATTACATTATCCAGATCCTCAAGGAATTTCATTAAAGAATTATATAACTAGCATAGAAAAATTACTGAAAAATTACTACACTTTTCATAACACCCACTTCCCCTCTAATAAGCCGGTGCTGGTGCCAAAGAAACGAGGTTGTAGCTATTGTGTCTGTTTCTGGCTGAATGGACATTTCTGAGCACAGAATGAATGGAGTTCATTTAGAGGTCTTGCAAATGGACTCAGACTCCTTTCATGCATAATGGATTTCAGTAAGAACATTTAGGACAAACAACTTTTTTTAATTTAACCCTTTTAAGTGAAGGGAGAGAGGGGGAGAGAAGGAAAATTAAGAATAACTTCACCATTGTTCTCCAGGCAGTGATGGTGTGCACACCTGCTCCACGGGAAGGGGAGACCAAGATCAGCCTGGGGGGAATTACCTTGATTCCTATGCCTAAAACCAGATCGCAACAGTCCTGATGCACTAATAATTAAAAAATAGCTTAAAAAATGTTAATATTGCCACTCTGAAAGCCAACTTAATCACGAACAACAGATTCTAAGTTAATTATGCTACTAATGTAACAGCTTCCAGACTGTAGGAACCAGTTTCCTTGTGTTTACTCATGCGATTGAACGTCAGAGTTCAGAGATGCTGAAGGATGTCACAAGAAGGTGGAGTGACCTAAGTTTCTTCTTACATTTTAAATCCAGACATAAGAATGTTAATGTGTTCTACTACTGTTGCGGATTACCTTTGTTTACAGAGATGTAATTCACACTGTATATGTGTATTTAAAGACAAAATCCAATCCATTAGTTTAAAAAAAAAATTAAAAGTAGTATGAACTAGTACTAATTCCCTTATTGTTTCGAAAAATATTGAGTTAATCTATTTTTTTATTCTAGAATTCTCTGATAAAAAACAGAAATTCCTTTTAAGAAATGAAGTCAAACATAAATAAGCCTGGAAAAGGTCCCTATTGGTAGCTAGCACCGCAACTTTTTTTCCTAGGGGAACAGCACTGTTCTCTCCTCAGCTGAACGAACCCAAACGTGACAGAGCTGAAGATGTCAGAGATAATTACTGTCCTACAGGTTTTGTGAAAATTGGTGGTTGGGAGGGACAAGGATACCGCAGTGGAAACGTGGATGGGTCAAAGCACACAAGTCCCTAGAAAACTGGGCTTAATGAGTTACATTGTTCTTTTTGTCATCATTAGTCATCACTTTCTCCATATCCTGAAGAAGGCAGCTACCAAAGCTGGGATGAGAAACACGCTCCGGCAACTCATAACAAGTTCCAACAATTATTAGGAAGGCAGAATCCTGTTGCTACAGGGAAAAACCCAGCAACAACCCCCCACTCGACCCTCTCAGAAGACAAAATCACCAACATCTCCCCTCCGCCCTCCCCCCACCCCAAAAAAGGTAAAACAGCTAAGAAACCAAAATGCTCCCCCACCTCAGCTGACACTCAGCCTCATTAAACTTTCCCTTCTCCTTCATGGAATCTGCAGAACTACAGACACAGATCCAAAACACCAACAGTTTCCCAAAGAGAACCAGGACCTACTTTCTCCTTCCCTTTGCAGAGGAACACGCCTGCAAGTCCTACATGAAACGTTAGTGTTCCTTGCCCGCATGCATGGAAGTGCCCAACGATACCTACAACTGGCTGCTCAAACTGAATGGAATCGTTTATATTAGAAGAGTTCCTGTTTGTGAAACCGCAGCCAGAGTGCTCAGAGGTCATATCACAGATTAATTATCTTCTGACATCAGTGCTAAATTAAAACCATTGACAAACACCACACCTACAGAAATACCCGTTTCTTTGCTGATGTTTTTACCTCCAAGTAATCCCTCGAGAAAAGAACTCTCAAAAGCAACATCTCACACATCCTTCTAGCAACGTTTACTTACTGTATTGTGTACCCTACTAGGGTTGAAATACCCTCTCCTATTAGTTTTATTTCTATTATTTCAACATTATGGCCATGTAATGCCTCTTACGAATATATGAAAGTTTTTGGTGTCAATACAGTCTGATTTCACTGATCACATCAACAGCAAATTTGACAAGACAGAAAATGTTGCCTATGCACACAGCAATGAACACATTAAGGCGTACTGCTAACCCCTTCACAAAACCACATGCCTGGTCTACGAGCTGTCCTTGCTCACTGTCCCACCTTCACCTACTTCTGCATTCATACCACCCTCTGTCAGATTGTTCAATGGCCAAAACCAGGTATAGTTTTAGAATTCTTCATGAATCTGAGTAATTCCCCAGAGGGGAAAAACCACTAAATTTCAGGCAAGGGATGGGACAAGAAAAGTTCCCCCTTTAGCAACAGCAGTTAAATAACTAGATAGATTTGGTGTTTTTACTAAAATTAAAACACCCCAACAAATCACAGGTGTGTGCCAGCCAACCACCAAGTGATCAAACACCTCCATGAGCTTGTTTCCTGGAGCGTCTCTCCCCACTACGTTCTCCAACACCATCCCAGGAGCTGCTCTGACAACCAGATCACGTCACACTGACTTCTATCACCACAGCACCACAACCCCAGTGCTCCCTCCGCTGTTCTGCCATCCTTTTACTGAACAGAGTCAGTTACTCCGAGGATCACGTTTAGCATCGCAGGACAAAGCATTCATAGCATCCTCTCTTTTGTTGTAGGGTGCAGGGCCCCCCTCTGCAGCAGGTGAGCTCAAAGTCAAGCTCACCGTGAAGCTATCAGCCTCTACAGTTCACATCAGCATTTCCAGTCACGGGACCCAAATCCGAGCACCATCGCTTTCACAAAATAACTTGGATGTTTTGCTGGGAGTCCGAGAGTGGCGTGTGATGGATCTGTAGTGGAGAGCTGCCCTTGCCGGCATGGCACCTGCAGAGGTGATGGGCTTCGAGAAGCGCTGGTAGGACAATGACAGTGATAACTGAAAGCACTGAGCAGTGCTTCAGTTGTGTAACCCCACAACTGCTTTGGTCCAAACTAAAGCAGTTTATCAAATTCAGTCATTTTAAGCCATCAGAGCTATATTAAACCTGCAGGAACAACTGCATTTTGTGGGGCTACAACACAAAAACGCCAATGCAGTGCTGTAACTCGATAAACAGGTGTCAACAGAGGTGGTTGTGTACATGATGCAGCACGAGCCACAGCAGCTGAAGTACGGACACGAGTCCTCTTCTGCAAACCTCAGAGGGTAGTGCCAAGGGCCCCGCCAGCGCTGCAGTAAGGCGAGTACTTCTGCAGCCTAACAAC